CGGTCCTGGGTGACAGAGGCCAGGCTGCACGGTCCTGGGTGACAGAGGCCAGGCTGCATGGTCCTGGGGTGACAGAGGCCAGGCTGCACGGTCCTGGATCTAATCCGTGACGAGGACATCCTTCCTGGGTGCTGATGCTGTCTGGGCACTGAGTGGCAGCCACGGAATGACCTGCCAGGGCTCCTGGCTCCCTCCCCGAGAGCTCTCCATCAGGCTTGTCCCAGAACTGCCCCCAAGGCAGGGTGGCCAGGTCCCCAATCTACACTAGAAAGAGCCCTGGTCGGGAAAGGGGGTCAGGACAGGGACAGGCTCCTCCCCAAGGGCCTGGGCAGGGGCTGTGAGAAGAAGGGGTCCACCAGGGCTGGGCTGCTATTTGGGCCCATGGCAATCTCAGATTCTGCCCAGCTGGGGGGACAGAGGGCTGGAGGGCAGAGGTCACTGGGCGATGGGCGCAGGGGGTGTTGGGTGGCTTCCACATCCAATGGCCTTCTCTCTGCCTCACGTCACTCCAGCCACAGGAAACACCGCCCGTTTACACTAAGTGACGCGCCCGAGACATCTCACCACCTGGTGACAGTGTACCTGAAATGGACCCAGAGGGTGCCAGGGAGACACATCAGAGAGCACAGGCCCAGGGCCCAGGCTGGAGGGCACCAGGCCTTGAGGGCTCTGCAGCAGGAGCTGAGGGCCCTCAGGGACCCCCTGGCCACCCTGAGGCACAGATGCTAATGGTAGGGCCCAGGCATGAGAAGGGCCCCAAGGGAGGGCCACGTCACCCTGCCCACAGGGCCGCTCCATGGGTCCCAGAGCTGCCGTCTGTTCCCAGGACTGATGGTGGCCAAGCTGGCCAGTCTCATGAAGTGTCAAGTGCTGAGGCAGCCATAGGGTGGGCCCTGTGCTCAGCTTGAGTCCGCCTCATGCTGGCTGGGTGCCTGGACGCTGCACAGGGGCAGGACAGGGTACACTGAGACTCTGTTGAGCCCACAGGAGGACAGAAGAGCCTCTGTCACTCAGTGACCCAGTGCCAGCCACACTAACCACGGAGTACATGGGCCCAGAGGCTAACCAGCCCCAGGGCAGGGCCCTCACTTATAGCCTAGACACCCTGAGCCTGGGCCCCAGGGACACAGGGAGCTGACACAGCCCTGTGGGGGACAGCTGTGGCAGGCTCAGCAACCAGGGCGGTGGCAGGCGGAGCAGGGCTGAGGCCCGGCCTGTGGGGGGCAGGGGCGAGAGGCCCACCTCTCTCATGGCTCACAGTCCAGCACAGCAAGGAGGTGTACCGAGGCCTAGGTCCTCTGCCCTGTGCCACGGCATTCCAGTGTTCACGTCAGCGGGGCCAGGATGCGGCTGGCAGGGGCCAGGCTGGGTACTGAGGCTCAGCCACGGTGCGCCCCCACCCCCAGCTGGGCAGGGTCAAGTCCCAGCCAGGCCAGGTTTGGAGCTGCACCCTGTTAACGAGGGAATGTCCTTCTGCTGCCAGCACTGTGGGGGGCTCCAGAGGGCAACCAGCCAGGTCCACCTGGACAGACAGCAGAGCCCAGGGGCAGGCGGCAGGGCCAGGAGGCACATTTGCATGACAAATGGGTTCCCAGGAAACCTCTGTACTTCCCAGGTGACAGCACTGTTACCTCCTCACCAGCCACAGCAGGCACTGAAGTTGGCCACACAGGGCTGAGTCTGGCTATTTTCAAGTATGTCCCTGCCCATCAGAGGTCAGGCCCCAGCCCACTTGAGCCCCACACGCCATGGCCCCCGAGGCCCTCTCCCTGCTGGGGACAGCCTGCTGAAGCCCAGCCCTGGGCTACTGTCAGGGTCCAGGCCCCACTGGGTCTCAGGGAGGGTGGGCACCCCAGGCCCCAGGACATCAGTGCCCCAGGCCCAGCACCCCTATGAGCTATTGAAGGGCTCTGTAGGTCAGCGGGGCAGGAAGTCTGCCTACAGGGGCGAACTCCCTGTCCTCCCTGGTTCTGAGCAGACACCAGGGTCTCTCCCCTCTGGGAAGCCAGGGGAGGACAGGGCGGGTAGAGTGCAGATGGACTTTGGGGGGTGGGGGCCCAGGCAGGGGTAGAGTTAGGGGACAGGGGTGGGCAGACACCCTGCTGCCTGAGGGGAACTGGTAGGTGTTGGAAACTACAGTCCCAGCATCTTTGAGCTCCCGAGGCCAGAGGTGGGGGAGGCCCCTCCAAGGGGAGAGAGGCCCAAAGAAGCTTCTGTCCAGCGGCAAAGCACTTCCGTGGCTTGTGCCAGGCCCTGGGTTCAATCCCTAGCACAAGTGAAAAGAGTGTGTGAATGTAGACATTGTTAAGAGAGCTCGGGGACAGGTCACCCAGCAGAGCCCTGCCAGCACCTGCAGGCCCGCCCGCTTGCTCCTCTTCCTAGCGCCCGACTGTGCCTCACCATGCCACCCCTCGTGGGTCTGCTGGGTCCTTCCTGAGACCCCGTTGCTGAGGGACGCAGCTCAAGCTGCAGCAGGGCAGGAGAGGGGAGGTGGCCACCATCTGCATCAGCTTCTCTGCCTGACTGCAGGCCCTGCTGGCTGCTGGGTCTGCAGGGTCCAGCGCACAAGGAGAATCCAGGGTCCCTTGTTCAGAAAGCCCGGGACAGTGGCCTTGTGAGTGCTGAGCTCTTCTCCTCAGCCTGTCCTGTGCCTTCTGCTGCGCAGTTCTAAGTGAGGAAACATTAAATTTTGAAGACATGATTGTAAATCTCACCATTTATCTTTATATGGAGCAAGGCGAGTTTTAATGCCAGTGTTGGAGCCCGTGGGATCCTGGCGACAGCAAGGCTCCCACTCCTGCTCACCCACGCGTGCTCGTTCTAACTAGGCCACTAGACATGCTGCGCCTCACTGACTTGGCTGGAGGCTGGCTTTATTTTGTTTTGTTACTGGGGACTGGACCCAGGGGTGCTTATCCACTGAGCCACATCGCAGCCCAGACCTTTTTTTTTTTTTGTATTTTATTTAGAGATAGGGTCTCGCTGAGATGCTCATGGCCTTGCTAAGTTGCTGAGGTGGCTTTGAACTCGCAATCCTCCTGCCTCAGCCTCTCGAGCTGCTAGGATGACAGACGTATGCCACGGTACTCGGCAGGAAAACACAAATTTTTCCATGTAACCACTTTGAAGGGTACAGTTCAGTGGCATTGGGTCCAGCCCCAGCACTGTGTGGCCACCCCATCATTTCCAGGGCCTGTCATACCCCCCCCCAGCTGAAACCCTGTCCCCTCCCCAGCTCCTTGTCTATGAACGTGGCCACCCCAGGCACCTCACCCCAGTGGACTCAGGCAGTGCTTGTCCTTCTGGCTTCCTCACGTCCTCCAGGCCTGTCCCTGTGGTAGCTGGGCTGCTGGGTCATGTGGTGCCTAGAGGGAAGTGTCAGTCACAGGAGCTCAGATTGACGCAGTCCTCAGACAACTTGTCTGTCCGTCCTCCTCTCCCACCTTTCCCCCTTCTTCCCCCCTCTCCACCCAGAGATGGCTCAGCCAGAGCCCCCAGCAGGTGCAGCCCGTCTGCGTGGACTCCCTGTCTTCAGAACTTCAGACGGTCTGAGGCCTGGGGCTCCGTGGTTGGCATTTTGAGCCTGGGTCTGCCTGGGTTCCATTCCCACCACCGAGGCACCAAGGCCCAGTTTCTCCAGATCCCTGTGGTCACTTGCTGCTGCCTGTTTTCTGATGGCAGCCTTGTGGTGGCCTCCTGTGGCAGTCCCCAAGTTTCACTCCCCTGACACTCCTTCCTGTCCCCCAACCAGCTCCGATCACATACACCTGACCCCGTGGCCTCCCCACCCCATGGCTGGAGAAACCTACCTGCTCTTCTGCTCCTTGACCCACAGCTGGCTGCCACACCTGCTTGGTGCCCCTACAGGCTCCCTCTGTGGGTCACCAGCCCCCCACAGCGTCTCATAGACCACCTCTATGGGGACAGCCCCTCTGCACCTCCGCGTGGACTCCAGGCCAACCCTCACAGCGTGGCTCCATGGCTGCCCTCCACTGGGCTGGCCCATAGTGCCCAGCCCCCTCCTTCCCTGTCCCCTCTCTTGTTGGGCTCAGGACCCCCGGTCTGGACCCCTCCTGTCACGCAGGTCTCACTGGTGGGAATTTCCTGGCCCAGGCTCACGGTTTCTCCCCCTGCCCTCCCGAAGACGTCCTCCAAGTGTGCCTCTGTTCCGGTCCTCATTGACCTCCTCCCTAGCCCTCCTGCCACCACCCACCCAGATCCATCATGGACCAAAGTGAAGGGCCAGTGCCCGTTCTGGAGCCATCCCCCTCCCCTCCCCTCCCTGTCCCTGCCAGGGCTCGGGCCAGTGCCCAGCTCTCCTTCAGGTGCAGATGGCCTGTTCTCACAGCCTGTGGATCGGCTCACGGTGAATGGGGCAGACCCAGCTGTGGCTCGGCTACCTCTCCGGGCCTCAAGGTGCCACCTGCTGAGAGTCAGGGTGCTGGTTGTGTGGTCCTTTCATCTGAAGGGTATGTGCGTCCTAGGTGCTGCGTGAGAGGGCCTGGGAGCCCCCTCCATCCCAGCCAGAGCCCAGTGGTGACCCCAGGCCGCTCCCCCATGGCTGCAGGCTCCTCTCTCTGGGCTCCATCCCACAGCCTGCAGGTCCAGGGACTGAAGCTTTCTTCTCTGTGGGATGACAGGACCCCTGACCCAGGGATCTGGACCTGGAGGCCAACTCTCGGCCTGGAGGCTGTGGTGGGCACTCAGGGTCCTCACACGGCCCACTCTGTCAGGTGACCTCACCACAGTGGGCGAGTCCATTGGACCCTGACCCTCCTCTCTGGGGCCTCAGCCTGGACCCAGCTGCCCTGACCACACTGCCCTGCACGGCCCACTGTGGCCGGGAACAGCTGCGGCTTTGTGTCTCCAGAAGGGGGGGCGGTGGCCTCAGCCACCCAGACACCTCGGTGCTGCCTGCAGCTCCAGAGTCACATGCTCTGCCTGTTGGGCCTTTTCCCCTCCCACAGGCAGCCTCTGTTGCCTGGGAGGGTGTCTGCGTGGAGCCCAGCGCTGCGGAGAGCAGCTCGCACACACATCTCACGCTCGCGTCCATCCTCCGTCAGGCGGAGGTGCAGGGAGGAGCTGCAGGGCTGTGTGGACGGTGGTTCATTCATTCACTCCCTGTGCAGTGAACCTCTGGGGAGCCTTGGGTCTGCGCACTGCAGAGGACGAGAGAGGTGACAGAGGTAGACACTGGCACGGCAGAGAGGTGGCCGGTGGGAGGGGACCCCTGCACCCAGGCCCTTGACTTCTGGTTTCCCTTCCATTCAGCCAGCTGCCCTCCTGGCCCAGGAGCCGCTGCACTGCTGCAGGGTCCCTGGAGGACAGCTCCGCCCAACCTCCTTTTCTCACCTGCACAGCCTTGGACTCTCGTGACCTTTCAAGCATGCAGGTCCTTAGGTGCTGGAAGAATTTGAGGGGTGGAGCCTGAGCACCTGCTGTGTGCCTGATAGTGTGGATAATGGGTCCACCTTGGTGAGAGAACAGGGGTGACCCCTGGGACCCTTGATCTGGACCATGAGTCCTAGATCTGGACTAGGGATGCTGGGCCCAGACTGAAGAACCTAACCTGGGCAGCACACCTGCAACAGGAGGAGGGCAGCAGATGCCCTCCCAGTGGCCCCAGGGCCTTTCCCTGCCTCTAGTCCCCACCGTTCCCGGCTCTCCCACCTGCGAGTTCTTTGTCAGCCAGACACGGGTGTGGTCCCAGGGTGGCTCTGTGCTGAGGCACAAGGTCAGCACATCCACATCCGTCCTGCTGCATGCCTGGCCTTCTGCCCCACCTTAGTCCTTCCTCCGGGCCCATCAGCAACCTATAAAGTAGCTGGGCCTCCCCCCCAGCTCCAAGTCCCCATCCCAGGTGGCACACTGTGTTCATCTCTGCAACAATGGGGTCCCCTCAGCCTCCCTCCATGCAGCTTCCACCCCAAGAGGTCAGTGCTGAGTCCTCCTTGGCCACCATACCCAGAGCTTCAGGCACCTCACAGGACACCTCAGACCCACAAGGGCCCAAGAGGGAGCACAGCCTGGGGAACCCACCCAGAGAGTCAGAGAAGCAGTGAGGGTGCGGAGCCAACGCCATGGAGCGCGCTCTGTGCGGCGCAGCCAGCCCAGTGGCTGTGGGGCTGGGTGCTCTGCAGAGACAGAAGCCTGGTCCTGAGACCCTCCCAGGCCAGCTTGGGCAGACGTAGGTGCCCGGGCAGGGGAATGGCTGAGATGCGGTTGGTTGGGGCACAGCTGTTCCTGTTCTGCATATGATGAGAGGTGCCTGCCTGTGTGTGGTATGGTGTGGGTGTGTGAGCATGTGTGTCCCATGCGTGTGCACGTGGGGACACTGAGCACAACTGTGGCATGTGTGGTGTTGGTGCATATGTGAACACAGGTGTGCCCAGCCACCCACATCAGGAAGGAACCACTAGTGAACAGAGCAGTGTCTAGGCCATGGGTGGATTCTGGCCTGGGCAGCAGGGACACAGTGAACTCTGACCCCAGGATCATACCAGGTGGGGAGAAGGTATGCATCTTGGGGGCCTCTGGGTGTTTCGGCCCCTCTCAAGGCCTGGCAAGCTGTCCCTGGCACACAGCTGTACACAGGCCCTTGCTCCTTGGGTTAGCTCCTGGACACCCTGGGGGCATCACGCCATCAGGACCTGACAGAGACCTCTCACTCACGCTCCCGGGCTCGTCTAGGCTGGCGTTGGGCAGCTGCACTCGGGCAGCCACAAGCCTGGGGCTCAGCTCCCCTGCACCCAGGCACCTGGAGCACTGCAGGTGTTCCTTCCTGTGTGACTGGGAGCACCAATGGCAGGAGATGCTCTCCAGGTGACCTACCCTGCCCATGAACTTTGACAGGCTGATCTGTCCCAAAGCTGGTTGCCTGGGCACCAGTCAGAGGAATGGACAAAAAGTGGATGGACAGAGCAGCAGCTGATGGCTGGCAGAGGCTGCTGAGAATCAGCGGAAGCCAGGGCAGGCGGCCGGCGGGTGGCTAGAAGGTCATGGAAACCCTCGCTTCCTGTTTTCCCAACAAAGGACCTCTGTCCCACCAGGAAGGCCACTGGCCAGCGGCACCGGACGCGCCTTTTCCGTAAACAGGGTTGTTTTCCCTTTTCCCTCTCTACACAATAACAGCAGCCCCCAATTCCCCCATCCTGTTGCCAACCACAGGGGCCAGGCTGTCTGAGCAGGGAAGGCTATCCTGGGCCAGGCAGCCACCCTGTCGCAGGGGGACCACAGCTTGCCTGCTTGCTGAGGCCTTGGGGTCAGAGCATGGGACGGGAGCTCAGTGACGCCTGGCCCATAGGGCAGGTGGGAGGCTGAGCCAGCCTTGGGGTCCCTGAGTGGGAGTCAGTGGGTAAAGGCTGTGCTGAGCCTGTGTCTCCATGGGGCTTGATAGGACCTTGTGATCCTCATGCTTGACTTGGCAGTATCCAGAGCAGAGAGCAAGGGCTGGGTCCATGTAGTGGCTGGACCCCTGGGAGCGGGCAGGGGTCTAAAGGCCTTCCTCCAGGCTGGCTTCGGCCATCGGGGTGCTCTGCCAGTTGGGCTGCAGTGACTGCCTCACAAAGAGTTCTGAGTGACCCACAGAAGTGGGCTGGGCTGTGAAGCAAGCCCGGCAAGCTGAGGCAGGGCTGGGTCAGCCTCCCACCCCAGGTGGTGAGGGGCACAAGGATGGCCATGCATCTGCCTGGAGGGCAGATGGGGTGTGCCCCTCCATGCACTTTGCCCTAAAGAGGCAGGAACGGGCAGGTTGCCCAGCATGCTACTCCGAGCGCGCAGTATGCAGTGTGCAGTGTGTGCGGGTGATTGTGTGCACCCAGGCACAGGGGCTGATGAGCCCATGTGAGGGGCTGGGGTCTATTTATAGCAAATGCTTCTCCCAGAGAGCTATTAATAGTGAGGGTGGAGGTTGAATGGACAATGCGGCCAGCCTGCTGCCCCTGATGGGGTGGGGGCTGGGCAGGAGACACCCGGGGCTGGTACCAGCTCCCACCCAGGCGGTCAGACAAGGGCCACTGTTGTCTGGGCAGCAGCTGGGCCGGGGGTCCAGGCTCACCTGGGGCAGCAGCTAGAGAGCTAACTCTCCAGCTACACGGAACCCTAAGAGGGAGCTAACAGTGAGACCCGGGACAGGGGGTAGCGGGGGACCCAGGGTGCAGCCGGCTGCTGGAAACTGGGCTTGGCTCTCGCAAATAACACGTGGGGTGGGAGGGGCGGTGCTGTGCTGTGGCGGCTGAACTCCTGCTCTCCAGGCCACTGTTTCTATCAAGAGTCCAAACTGACCCTGCTGCCACCTGCCCCACCTTTGGCAGGTTAACCAAGTGTCAGCAGTGACAAGTGATGTGGGAGGAGTCAGCTGGGCCCTGAGCCACCGGAGGAGAGGCGGCCCCAGGCGGGGGTGGGGG